TGACCTGGAGGCTCGCCAGGCTATGCAGGAACAGTTGGCCAGGAGCAAAGAACTGACGCAGAAACTCCAGGTGGCTTCCAGGAGTGAAGAGGAGGAGGGCGGTACAGAGGAAGAGGGTGACCTCCTTGTCCCTGATGCGGTGAATGAAGCACAGGTGACTGCAGATGGACCGAACCCCTGGATGGTCAAGAATCATTCCAGTGACACGAAAGATGCCGAAATCCAGGACACCGAACAACTTCCAGAGCCCATGGCCGATGAGGCTTCTGAAAGGGAGGAAGAAGAAATAAAACCAGCCGCAGAGGAAGAAATTTTGTTGAAAGAATTTGAGGAAAGGCGATCACTTAGGGAAAAGTCTAGGCTCAATCAGGACAGGCTGGAGCCAATGGGCAGACAAAAAACAAAAGATTCTAGCAGCCAGGAGGTGCTGTCCGAATTGAAGGCTGTATCTCAGAAATTCAACAAGGAAAACCATCAGTCCAGGAAGCAAAATGTGAGTTCAGCGAGGACAGTTCCGCCGATCCAGAGAGAGGGACCTGCTGGGGAAGAGGAACCCCTGTTGCTGCAGAGGCCGGAGAGAGCAGAGATACTGGAAGAGCTAGACGAGCTGGGCAAAGAAGGATGCTTTCACAATAAGGAGCTTCCCAGACCTGCTTTAGAAGGACAGACGTTGGAGATGAACCCAGATAATCAGCCTGGTGCAGCCCAGGAGAAAAGGAAGGAGCAAATGATTGACCTACAGAACATCCTAACCACAAACTCTCCCTCTGTGAAGTCTTTGGCAGTCCCCACAACAATAGAGTTGGAAGATGAACAGGAGAGAGATCAAAAGCAAGTGATAAAGGAAGCTTTTGCTGGGGATGATGTCATCAGAGACTTCTTGAAAGAGAAGCGGGAAGCTGTGGAGGTGAGTAAGCCAGAGGACATGGACCTGACTCTGCCCGGCTGGGGCGAGTGGGGTGGTGTGGGCCTGAAGCCCAGTGCCAAGAAGAGGCGCCGGTTTCTCATTAAAGCCCCTGAAGGTCCTCCCAGAAAAGACAAGAATTTGCCAAACGTGATTATCAACGAGAAGCGAAACATCCATGCAGCAGCTCACCAGGTGCGGGTCCTTCCATATCCATTCACCCACCATCAACAATTTGAAAGGACCCTCCAGATCCCTATAGGATCTACATGGAATACCCAGAAGGCCTTCCAAAAGCTGACTACGCCCAAGGTTGTCACCAAGCCAGGCCACATTGTTAAGCCTATAAAAGCAGAAGATGTGGGCTACCGATCTTCCTCAAGGTCCGACCTCTCTGTCATACAGAGGAATTCAAAACAACTCTCCATATGTCACAAAAAACAGTTGAAGAAAAACTCTATAAAGATTGAGTTGCTGAAGGAGTGACATACTGGTGCCCAGAACCAGGAGCCCCAACTGCTCCTTCATTGGCTCACTTTTACTCCAAGCTGCAGGATCAATTCCAAAACTGGCTTAGCACACGGTGGGTATGGTTAAGCCACATTTTAGAAATAAAGCCTTTTATCTATTTTTTTTTAAAAATGTCCACTAATGAAAAGAAGCACTGTCATCAATTTTTACTTCTTTTTTCTCAAGTGCTGCACAGGCTGATTCCACTTGTTCCCATGCTGAAAGAGTACTCAGTAACTCAGTACCAGTAATTTTACAGTCCATGTAAAATAATTGAATTTTTCAATGGATGAAATCCATTTCAAAAGAGAGTCATAGCAATAATTACCTACTTTGGCCCAAAATTTATTTTCCTGTTTATACGTAATATTGTCCCTTTTAAGAACAGCTTTGATAATAAAAGGGATAAACTTTCATTAATTCTTTAAGATAGTCAACAAGTTCTTTTAAGCAATGGAGTACTTCAGTAACGTTGCTTGCTTTTCTGTCAACTTGCATAATCCTATGCTAAACTGATATTGAAAACGATGAACAAGAAATAACTAGAATTCATTCAATGCATTATTTCAAAACTCAACCCGAATTTTGGGGTCCTTTTCTTCAGAACTGAAGTATAACATTGGTGCTCCGTATAAATGGAGGATTCTCTCAATGGCATTTGTTAAAGAGAGCCAATGGTTTTTGAATGTGAGAGAAATGAAGAATACGGAATACCAACAAAATCACTAAATTGCTCAGTCAGAACAGTATAAATGCCAAAGTAGGAGAACAATTTCATGACAGTTTCTTCAGTCTCAACAGAAAAGACATCAGACACTACTGAGCAGCATTATGCAGAATATGGACAGAACAAGCATCACCTTCCATAGAACCATCCATGTTTTGCTTCAACTTGAATAAATATTGTGCCCTTACACAAACATCCACCAAAAGTTATATTATCCCCAACAAAAGTAGTAAGAAATTTCTCATTAATTCTTTTTTATATGTAAAAAAGCTGCATGTACTTAATATGTGTAATTTGAGGAGTTTGGACATATGCATATACCTGTGAATCAAGGTAATAGACATATCTGTCATCTCCAAAAGTTTCCTGTGTCCCCCTTTTTTTGGTTGTGTGTGTGTGTGTATGTGTGTGTGTGTGTGTGTGTGTGTATCTCTTAAAAACTTTTAAAAACAAAGTCTCTGCAAAAATTTGCTGCTGTTTCTGAAGTTTCATCTGGAAAGAATTCTACTTGCAATGGCCTTAGAAGCAAGCCTTTTTCATAAGAAAAATGTATTGCACAAAGGAAAAGTTGTTTCTGCATTGGGATTACCTGCATGGTGGTTATGCCATAAAAAGGTGAGACATTTAGAACTTGGATAATGTCTGTAATGATAAATTGAGCTATTACATTTTTGTTATGGAAGTAGATTTCATCCTAGCATTTGAATCTTTGCTTGCAATTTTGGAAGCAGAAAACGCTTCTGGGAGTGGTACATTCAGTTATTTGAGCTGAAAGACTAATGATGATATATGGTGTGAAAGGCCATTACATCTCTGCTGCAATTGTTTTATTTTCTTAACCTGAATTTCTCTTAATAAAAAAAAAAATCATTTATCACTTTCCTTAGGACTAGTTGAGGAAATTACATATTTCTTATGCTTAGCTGTTAATATATGCTGGTTTATATCTGACTTTACACCCTTTTAAATGTTAAACAATTGCATATTGCAGAAAGCTTCAAAAGGAATTTTTCCTCATTTAATAAATGTCCACAGCTCAGAAAGTTCACAAAATTTATGCATGCTTTTAACATTTGGGGGTTCAAATACACACAAAAAATAGATAATAGAAACCACGGCAAGAATCAAAGAGATTGAATTTGGTAATCTCACAGCTGCAACAGTGAATCTGTCACTCACAAGTCTGAACTCATTACTGTTAAAAGGGCTTCAAATTTGTGAACTAACATTAAATTGAACATAACACCTGATGCAAAAAAAGGTGAATATGTTTGTCTGAAAGTGATAAGTGTACTTTTAAGGCAAAGTCTCCCCTCACAAAGCCAGAGCTGCTTTGATGTAAGATTTTGGGAAGCCTGGCACTGGGGCTGGTGGCCTTTCAGAAGAGGAAGTAGTTAGGGATGTTAGGACTTGTAGCTGTGTTGGTGTGTCTCTGGAACAAGGCTGCCTTTGACTTGCTGACTTTAAGCATGGTCTATGGAGTGAGGCACTTGCCGGTTGGCTGTTGTCTAGGAGTGTGGGGGCTGTCACTGATTGGCAGGCTTTCAGAAGCTTGGGCTGCTGTGGATTTGCTCACTTTCAGAAGCATAGTTACCGAGGTGAGAGTATTGCTGATTGGCTGATTTTTGAAAACAAAAATTGTAAGTTATCTCTTATTAACTAACAGTGGTTACTGTTCATGACTTGGGACTTTGGCCAGAGAACAGTGTTTTCCTTTTTTGAATATGAAAAGAAGTACCTTTAATTCTCACTCTTCCATTTTGCACTTCCCTCAGCCAAACCTGCAGGAGACTATAAGGGATTGGCCAGATCTTTCTTTGTGGAGATATACTTTTTTTTTTTTTTNGGGGGGTCCCCGCAGCCCAGCTCCCCACTTACGCGGACACCTCCCGCGGCTGCTGCAGCAACGGCGCTAACGATCCAGCCCCGCGCCGGTCACATGGGCGCGCGTCACGCGGCGCCAGGCTCCGCCCACGGAGCTGACTAGGCCCGGCGGACTCTGCCCGGCTCCGGGCCACCGACCCTCTCTAGCAGGCCAGGGACGCGCAGGCCCGGGGACAGCCCTGGGAGGCGGGGCTTTAAGACAGGTTTTGTGCAGTAGGAGAAAGACTGGCGGCCCCTGATCCCAGGAACGCAGTCCTCGTGCCCGGGGGTAGGGCTGGGTTTCAATGCTGGGGATGGGGTCGAGGGAGGAAGAGCAGAATCCCTTCCTCAGAGTCTCTCAGGGTTAGGCCTGGTTCTGCCTTCGGCTTCACTGTTGGTTTGTGTTTTTTTAGATGCCATTTATTTATCTAGATATTACAACTACTATGTTGTTTTAAATATGATTGGGTTTTTTTCTGCCTTTTTAAAAAAGGTCAACCTGTGCAGCAGCAAATACTAGAGGAAAAGATAAGTCCCTGGTTTCCCCAACTCCCCAAGATAACCATTGCTAACAATTTAGACTGCGTTCTAAATCATTTTTCCTTGAATATACTTACATTGTATGTTACAGAAATGGGAACACACCACGAACGCTGTCCACAATCAGCCAGGTGGCCACATTCTCCAATTCCTGTGACTCTGCCCACTGTGCACAGCCCAGGGGGCTCACCCCTCCCCTTGGACCAGCTGCAGCTCCAGACCGGCTTCTTACAGGTGGGTTTAACCTGGTGAGACCCTGATAAGACACTACAGTGGAGCTAATACCTTTACCGTTTGAGGGACTTGTTCTTTGGCCTCAGTGTGGGTGTAGTTTGTTTTTAATTCAGTCAGAAATCTCATCTCAGCATGAGGATTGCAGATGTTTCACAGTGAAACTCCAACCCCAATCTTCAAACACATCAGATGACAGGATCTGGTATGCAGCAGCTGCCTCCAGACCTTTTCCAGGAAGAGCGACTTCATGTGACTTTAGGGCCTGTTTCCCTTTCTGTAGGGAACTAGTGCAAGGTCTGTTAAGCCCGAAGGCTCTGGAATCAGTCTGGGGACTAATCAGAAAGACCTGGGTTTGAATTCTGCTCTAGAGTGAGTGACTCAAGCAAATGACTCAACTTCTCTAGTTTTCTTATCTGGAACATGGGAAATTAAGTAAAACTGACCTCATATGGCTCTTGTGAGTATTAAATGAAATATTAGCATCGCTTAGCTTTCACAGCTAGTCACATTACCCCTTATTTCCTCCTACCTTCTTTACAGCCCATTTTCTAATCCTGAAATGCTCTTCATCCTGACCTCCTGTGCCCCTCGTGCTCCTCCCACTCCAAGCCTAGGTTTAGACTATTACCCACACCCATCTTCTCACCCTTTTATGTTGTAACTAAAGTTGACTAAAAGAACTGTGAGCTCATCCATACAGCGGAACACTCTGCATCTCTTTTATGGATATTTTTGTACTCTCTGGTATTCCCTTGCCTTGAGCAAACACCCTGCCTCCCTTGTCCCCTAAATCTGCTTGGTTCATGGGTTCATGTGGGTTTGATGGAGCTGGCCCTACCAATTAGAGACCTCCATGCCTCTAGTCGTGATTGGTTCAGGTCTATGTAGTCATGGAAGACACTAGTCCATCAGCCAGTCACAGCCTCCCTTCTCCCTTGCTGCT